GGGTCCGCAGGAACATGTGTTTTACATAAACTTTACAAAGCGGGTTTCGGGTTTAGGGTTCCTGTAAGGGCTCCTTTGAGGGTCCTTTTAAGGTCGGGTTTAGGATTCAGGCTTTAGGGGTGTAGGGTTTAGGAGTTTCGGCGCAGGGGTATTAGGGCTAGGGGTTGAAAGGGTTTAGGGTTTATAAACAGGACTCCGGACTTTATCCACGTGCAAGACTATGCTCTGCTATGGGAGCTGCACGCATCTCGGCTCTCGAAGGAAACCCTAAACGATTTAAACCCAGAATACTTCACAGCCCCCTTCCTAGTAGTAGAGTAGGCAACCTTTAACCTTCTGGGGAGGATACTATAATCCTTGTACAATCCCAATATATTCCCAAAGGTTAACCTTTAGTTCCTCAGGATACTCGGCCATAAACCCTAAACCCTATACCTATAGGCTCCTTAGGAATTGTTTTGTATCTTTGTTCATATAAAACCCAAGAGAATATAAAACAAAATATGTTTATCATTTATCATGGTTCTAGGGGGGGGTATAGATGGGAAGGGGCCCCCACCCTGTAATAGTGGTATAATAGGAATATAATAGGGCCCTAATACAGGTCACTATTACAGGGTGGGGGCAGCTTCTATAACCCCGACACCCTAAACCCCTAAACCCTAAACCCTAAACCCTCAACCCCTCATGTAAGGTATAGATACCACAAGTAGGCCTCAAGGGAATCCCCAAGTCTAAGCGTTGTTTGGCCCAGGCTTCTCCACTCCGGGCCTGACCTCAGCCCAGAAGGCGGTACGGCCTAAATCCCGAAACCCCCGCACTGGCTATACACTATACCCTAAGGCCCCGAAGTAGTTCCTTTTGGGGGCTCATATTAAGAATCCTATAGTAAGGTAACCCCAAAATGGAACTACTTGGGGGCCTATATATATGTGTAACTCCTGACCCGAGGTTTCGGGAGGATTTAGCTTAGTTTCGGCACGTCTACAGCTCTGTATAGACATCGACAAGGACATGGAAACCAACCCTTCAAGTCAGATCTTCACCTCTTCACCTTTCTGTGAACCCCAGGGCCCGAAAGATCTTCACTTTTAAGTTCTCAGCCAAGTAAGACCAAAACAAATCACGCAAACCCTCATTGCTCATAGCACCGTCCTTAAAGGTTTCAACAACAAATAACTTTCATCTGGCCCCACCCGGAGCCCCAAAAACCTAAACTCCAAACCATCCAAACCTCTGAAGGGCCTGTAAAACTGTCCTTGAGTTTAAAGGATCATGGGACTTGGTAACTAGGGCTCCTGAAAGGGCTCCTTAAAAGGGATCTATAGGGTTTAGGGTTTAGGGTCAAATTAAAAGGGTCATGGGACTTGGTAACCAGGATTATAACTAAGGTAACTATACTTGTAAGCAGTGATAATCCCACTTAGGGTACTTATAACCTTACCTGCTAAGTTACCACGTCCCATGATTCCCTAAACCCTAAACCCTAAAGCCAGAGGTCAAGTACGACCAGCCGAGTGAGGAGCAGGAAGAGGACTTCCGCAGCCTCGTGGCATACGAGAACGAGAAGCCGAGTGAGGATAGCTTCTCAGCCGCAAAAGGCTTGGGGTTTAGGGTTTTAGGGTTTAGGGTTTAGGGTTGAGGGGTTCAGGGTTTAGGGTTTAGAGGTTTAGGGTTCAGGGTTTTAGGATTTAAGGTTTTAGGGTTTAGGAGGTATGGGGATTAATGGATAGCTTTTCAGCCGCAACTTTGGGTTGAGGGTCTAGAGGTTTACGGTTTTACGGCTTTCAGGGTTTATAGGGTTTAGGGTCTCGGGGTTTGCGGTTTATGGCTTTCAGGGTTTATAGGGTTTAGGGTCTATAGGTGTTTACGGTTTTACGGCTTTCAGGGTTTTATGGGGTTTAGGGTAAGGGGAATTTGCAGCCGCAGTTTAAGGTCTAGGTCTCGGGGGGGTTGGTTTTTTTTTGCGTTTGGAGCGACCTAGTGTCTTTATCGAAGCGCCCCTGCTGCACCTGCCCAGACCCTAGAAGACGCCACCTCTTTCACGACTCGTTTCAGGAGCTCATAAGTAAGTGAAAGGTCTGAGCACACACCTTCCTTAAGGTTCAGGTATTAGTTGGTTCAGGGTGCAGGGTCCTACCGTTGCAGGGGTTGTCTACGGGATCCACGTCTTGAACGAGGGTTCTGTCAGGGCTTCGGGTTGTCGGGTTTGGGCTGTCGTAACTGCAGAGCTTGCTTTCTCTCACCCCAAGCCCTGGAGCTTAAAACCCTAAACCCTAAACCCCCAAACCTAAATCCTCAACCCTAATGAGCTTAAACCCTTAAACCCTAGGCTGGAAATCGTACCGTGCCTGAGCCCGAACTAAAGCCTGCGAGTCCGAACCCACCTGAGCCCTGGGCACTTGAAGCCCTGAGGCCGTAAAGTGTCGAGTTCGATGTCTTGCAGCGTGATATGGCTACATATTTTCGGTGCAGAAATAATATCCCTAAACCCTGAAGCCCCCAATAGTGTGTAGTTAAACCCTAGGACTTCCCTAAACAGCGTTCTGCCTGCAGGCCTTCAGGGTTTTACGGTTTTGGTCCTGGCCTAAACGCTAATCCCTACCCCGCAAACCCTCAACTGTGATTTTTGTGAACCATGAGGAACCCTACGCAAAATCCCTAAAGCGCTGCTTAGGAATGGACTGTAGCTTCTCGTTCCCTGTTCCCGGGTGTAGATTTGGAACTGCTGTGTGTTTGAGGCAGCGGATTGAGGATTCAGTGGTTTCAGGGCTTGGGGTTTAGCACCCGGGGTTTGGGATTAGGGTCTTAGGACCTTTTAGTTCTTGTCCTTGTGCTGTTTAGTTTGAAGTTTACATGTGACTACACAGGCCCGACAACTCTGTGGACAGTGGACCTTACTTTTGGATTTAGCCGTTAGCCCTAACTATTTGCCCAGACAGTGCTGTGAAACCGCCCGCCAAAGGTCAGAACAAGTCACTGGTGCCATGCGGCGGCTGGTGCCTAGCGTCTGTGGCAGCTGGGTCGAGTCTAGGGTGTGTTCTTTTGGGTCGGATGTTTTGCGAAGCCAGGTTAAAGGACAACCTGCCTGCACTGAACACCCCAAAGTTCCTAAGTACTTGTAAACCCTTGATCCCCAATCAGCTCTTAAGCCTTCAAAACCAAGGGTCCAAGCACCCAATAATCGTATACTCTCCGAAATCCTAACCTACCTAATTACTCAAACCGAGTATCAAATTATTGGGTCCTTTGGACCCTTGGGGGCCTTTAAACATGTGACCTAGACCTTCGGATCACTCTAAGCTCTTATGCCCTTTCCCTAAACCCTAAACCCTATACCCTCCCCCCCTTGAACCACCCTCCCTTAAGGATCCTATAATGCACCCTGAAGCCCTTAAAGCCGAAACCCTTGAATCCCCAACCCTGAACGTTTATAGAAGTCTGCAATTAGAGTAGGGGGACCCTTGGGGATATAGACCCTCTCAATAAGGCCCCTTTGAAGAGAGCCAGAAGTGGGGTTCAGAAGGGGTTCTCCCAGTGATACTACGTCTCAATTTAGCTAATTTCAGGGATTCCTTCAAGTAATCGTCAAAGAAACGCCAGGAGGAACCTTGATAACAAAGGACGCCTTGCATGAGCCCTTAACCCCTCTCCAGCCCAGTTGAAATATGACAAGAAGGCCGCGAGACCCTAAGCCCTAAATCACAAAACCCCAAAACCTAAACCGTCAAGTTGTCCCGAGGCCGTGGCAGCCATTGCATCCCTTATCGCGCTCCTCTTCGTGGCATCTGGTCACCTGGCTGCAGATCTTGAACTTCCCCTTTGTATAGCACCCGAGATCTTCACAAAAAGAAAGAACAACAGAATAGCCACCGTATCGATGAGTTCATGAAGCTTCTGAACGCCGATAAACATGCAATCAAAAAGCAGTCTACAGCAAGCCCTGCCAAAACCCCTTCAAACCCAAAAGTCCGACGCCCAAATTGCCAAAGCCCCAAACGGCTAAAGCTCCATGTCTGTAAGAGTCGAGGAGCTGCCATCCCGGTGCACCACCAGGACCCGTTCTGAGCAATTAGCTGCCATAAGCCGTGCCTAGGACTGTAGGGATTTAACGGTTAGGGGTTTAGAGGTTTTAGGGGTTTGGGGCTGAGGATTAGTTATACAGTCTTAACCGGGTTGTTTATGGTTTTATGCGAGTTTCCATGTAAATAGTGGCTTCAGCACTCTGAGTTGTAGGATGTTGTCACAAGGGCTCTGTCACAAACCCTAAACCCTAAACCCTTTGTTTTGCAGGTGTTGGACTTCGCGGGTTCTTGATGCAGGGGCCGTAACAAGGAGAAACAACAAGGCTTCTGTAAAGCGTCTCGGTTTAGGGTTTAGGGTTCTAAAAGGGTGTAACGGTATAGGGGCATCATTCATTCCAACAGTTTTCTTTGAAGGATTTGTGCGGGCCTAGACTTGCCCGGGTTTAGGGTTTAGGGTTTAGGGTTTCGGGATTTTACACGAGCCCCATGGGGCTTCACAGTACAGGGGCCTCACTAATCGGGATAAGTAGGGTGTATAGACATTTACTTATCCGATTACGCAAATAGGCACCTTTATCAACTACATCAAACCCAAACCCGTCAAATTCATTGAAAATTCAAGCAACCCTAAACCCTAAACCCTAAGCCCTAAACCCTAAGCCCTAAATCCTAAACCCTAAACCCTGAAAGAGGTAGCGTCTGATGTAGCTGTCGATGACCAAGCTTGCAGTTCGGCTAGGGCTGTAGGCACGGGCTTCGATGGCTCGGACTAAAGCGGAGCTACGCACCCTACCTGCAGCGCCGGGCAGCCTTTCTCGATCCTCAGCAAAGCTTCGGCGCGAATCTCCTGACAGAGGATGTAGGGCCAGAGTTCGGAGGAACTTGCATCCCCCCGTCCCCGGCTTGGAAACCCCAGAAACAGAGCACTTCTGACTCTGTGGAAAACATTAAACATGAGTAGCAGATCACTCATCTTCACGCTTCACCCTCGTATGAAACTTCGGATTTCCCAGTGTTCTCTAGAGGACGGAGCCCGAGCTCCTTCCGTCGTCTAGCTGACATCATCTTCTCATCCTCCACCAAGCGCCAGGTGTGGCCCATCTTGTCAAAGAGGTCGTACTCTCGGCCTCCTCTGCTCTTCGTCAAGGTGTTGGCCAACTGCGCCTCGCTATGCACCCATCTGATGCACACATTCGTGTTGGCCTGGGCCTCCTTCAAAGATAGGAGTTCCAGGCTTGTCCGCTTCTCCGCGCCCTTGATGACCATGACCTCTGTCTCCAACTTATCGTAGACGTTCCGGCTGTCCGTCACCACGCACCCTTGGGTCTTACGGACTGTCTCATCAGGGGCAGACAGGTTCACCCCGCCGTACAAGATCTCGCTCCACTGGTATCGCGCAGCATGTAGGTGGTCTTCTCCATTCACGGCCGCTTGGGCCTCCGCGGCCCCTGGGGACCGGCAGGTCCTGTCAATCCGCTGCGAGTGCCAGCCCACTGGACTGACGGGCTGCACACTGCCCTTGAACATGTCTGACGTGCTCATTCCCAGCAGAATCCCTTGGGTGGATCCTCCATCCATCCTGTTGCCATTCGCCGCGTCGACCCACGCGATGAGCACCAACTCCTGGTCCTCATCGAAGGCATGGATCTTCATGCGGTAGTGCTGCTTGCTCTTTGCGGCGGCCAGCAACATGTTGGCCCGGATGATCGTGTCCACGCTGCTCCTCGTAACCTCGGTTAGGAGCAACCCTACTTCTGCCGCCAGGTAAGGCGCGACCTGTTGGGCGTGCCAACTGATTCCTCCTAGGAGTGCTCGCAATTGGCTTTTCTCCTTGTCGGTTGTGGGCTGGGATTTGTCTTTCTTTCGGGAGGCGTTCACTCCTATCTCGTGCAAACTATCAAGGTAGTGCGGTTGGGAAAGCTCAAAGCCACTAGAGGTTTGCTCAACAACAACACCACACTGAGTAAACTTGTTTTGTTCCCAGTCCCCCCATTTAAACCTATCCTTGATGGCCTGGACCGTAGCCTCCCTCCCACAAAGGATCCCCATCTTTTCCGCCAAACAGGAAATCATCCACATGGCCACTGACGATTCCCCTGAGTTCCCCGTTTTCTCTCAAAACCCAGCAACAAGAGTCTGACCACAGTCTTTGAAAGCCTAAGCTCTTAAGGAATTGGTCCACTGAACGATACCACTCCAGTGGCGCGTCCACCAATCCGTAGCATGCTTTCTTGACTCGAGTTACCGAGCCCTCCGGCAGGTCTAATGCACGGCAGATCTCTGGACACGGAATGCAAAACAACTCGTCTGGATACTGGCGACTCTGAAGAAAAGCTCCTGTGACGTCTCCTTTCTGCACTCGCCATCGCTTCCAAGCTGAAAGTTGTAGCAGTAACTGTCTGGTTTGTCGAGTCATGACAGGGCTTGTGGTAGCACGATGTTCATAAGCTCCGTCTTGATATCCCAAAAGCACTGCTCTGGCCTTAGCCTTTCGGCTGCCGTCTTCTTTCAGCTTCCATGTAAGTATCCAACGCATCCCAATGGCCTGTGAAGCATCTGGTTTCAAGTGGTCTGGAAGAGCCTCGAAAGCTTTTGAAGCCACAAAGTTTTGGACCTCCACGGCCTTGGCGCTGTTAAAAGCATCACGTTCCTCTGGCGTCATTCTCTTTTCTGAAAGCTCAATTGCGCGTCGTTTCAAGCTACCCACGAAATAGGCTGGAAGATCCTGAAAAGCCTTCTTTATACCTCTCTGGGTGTCCGGAAAGCTGATCTCCAGTGCGACGGCGGCCGCCTTATCGTCCCAGTAGACCAAGCCATTTGGTTTTCACCGTCTGGCTCCTGTAGGCGTGGCCTCCGGGATGAACTCGATGCCTCGCCTTGTTCTGGGAGTAACTCGGGATCTTCCTCTCCTTGAGAGGTTGGCAGTCCTTCTGCAGGTCTCTTCTGCCGTATGTGGAAGCGGCTGGGTTGGACCTCTTCTTCGGTGTCCTGCGCTCGCCTCCACTCTCGGAGATCGGGAAGGTCTCCTGTAAGATCCTCAAAGCGATTGCCTCCGATGCTGGCTGCCACAGAATGAAATGTCCAAGGTGTAGCTTGCCCCTCCTTGGCGGCAAGTGTCTCGATCATTTCCTCGCGTTCTGAGGCTCGTCGCAATTGCTCTGGGCTGCACTTCAAGAGACTACGACCCTTAACCAACCAAATGGCTCCTCCCCGTAAAATATCTCCTGATGGATCACGGCGTGATTCTGTAGCCAATACTCTGGCTGGGCCCAAGAACCGACCATGCTTCCCACCCGGCTGTCTTCGTCCCTTATTGGAGTCCTGAGTCCTCCAGTAGTAGACGAGCTCGCCGGGCACGTAGTCGTAGCAGGGCCTGTGCTTCGAGTTGGTTGCCCGAGACAGGCGTTGTCGGGCCTGCCATTCCAGGAGACATTTTTCTGCCTCCAGACGTCTCTGGACTGATCTCTCGAAGTCGCCCGCAGGATCCTCCACTAACAGCCCTGGGGGCACCTGTTGACATCCCGATTGGAAGCGCCCGGCATTGTCCGGCGCCTGTCCCAGAACGTGCTGAGCCGGGGAGAATCCACGGATCAGATCCTTTTGGTTGAAAACCACCACTGCTTCCGCAAGAGCTTCTTGTGGTGTGATAGTATCATCCTGTAGGCTCAATTTATCAAGAAGGGTCTTAACCCCTTTGATTGCGTTCTCGCAAGTGCCGATCTTCCAGTGAGCTTCGCCTGGGACTATGTCCAGAAAGATGTTGTGTCGGTCACACCACTCTTCGATGGCGGCGCTTCTGAAAGCGCCAGCTGGATCCAGTCTCAAGCATCGCGGGTGACCGAAGTACTGAACCCAACCCTCCTGGAGATAATGAATGCAATCCTGAGCCTTTGGTGCCTGGCGGGATCCGGAGGTAAGAATCCTAGCGACCCTGTATCTAGAACCCTCATCAATCACCAACATAAACTGCACACATTCTCCGGTGGTAGGGTGGGTCCAATGGCCCACGTCCGCGCTGATTGTTGTCAACTTGGGAGGAAGGGGTTCCAAAGAAGCCAGGGCACGAGGAGGTGGCCTACTCTTCTCTTGACACACCGAACACTTGAACTCATTGGCCAGCTCTAACGTTCTAGCATCAGCACCTCGGGCCTTGAGAGCCTGAACCATGTGTCTCGGGTGACTGTGGCCCGTTGCACAATGAAGGAGGTATAACTGCTTCTTGATTCTCTCGTCTTGGTTCTTGAGGTTGGAGGCCTGTGGAACCTGTTCCGCCGGATAGGCCTCGAGGCTCGTACTACGCGGAATTGGGAACCCGAGATCCTGAAGTTCCTTCTGGTCCCTGGGACTGAGCTGCTTCCAGCCCCGTGTCACGTAGACCGTAATGACCCACCTATCGCCTTCCCAAGGACACGAACCATGTCTCGCTTTAGGCGGGAAGATCAACGGACGTCCCTTAATGTCAAACTCAACACCAGAAATCACTTCTCCACCTGTGCCTTCCCGAACCGAAATCAGCCCTTTGCGGTCAAAGTCCGAAACTTCACCCTCAACCCACAAACCTCCCCCTTGAAACTCTCCGAACCCTATGCTGCCGTTGGGAAACTTCTCGTCGTTGTGGGCATCCCGGTGGGTGGGCATGCATGTCCCGTGGTTGACGGCAAACGAAGTCCATTGAAAGTGCTTTGGGAGGTGATGTTTCAGGATCTTGTTAATCCAGCGGCAAAGTTCGGGGAGACTCTGAGTACGTTTGGTGGTCCCATACATGTTGCCGTGTGAGTACGCACCGAAAACATGATAATTGTTTGGGATCTGGTGGTTTCTTCGGGAGTGGCCTATGTTTTGAAGGGGGTGTTCCGTCAGGACATCTCTCAGGGTGTTAAGGTCGGTGGCCTTGGGTCCTCTACTTTCTCTCCTAGCTTGTTGCTCGAGCCCCTGGGCCTCACTGGTACTCATGTATGCCTGAACCGACGTGTCGCCATCGTCTTGTGTTGCACACATGCACGCACCACAAACTGAAGAACCGCGCTTCCCTTCGCAACTACACCTAGTCCCAAGTCCAAAACCCTCGGGGAGCACCGAACGACCTGAGCATTCTTTCGTGATTTCTTCAGTTTCTCCCTCAACACTCAGGGCCTCGTACACAAGCCTCAGAAACTCTTTGGGGTAGGTTCGGGACGCAAGGGTACTCCCACTGTCACTCTTAGCATGCTGGTAGTTAGTCTGGCAACGACATGGTTTGTTGAGTTGCTCGGCCAGTCGAGCATGCGTGGTGACCAACCTCCATCCCTTCTGAAGCAACCTGTTGTCCCTGCCTCGCAATCCTACGGCGCATCCCTTGATCACGCAAGAATGTAACCCCATCTGAAACCTCAAGTCCTGAAGAACCGGAAGTCTCCAAGCCTCACTCTTTTCCGAAATCTCAACCGTAACATGACTGCCCAACTGAAGACATGTTTTCACCAGCTCAAGAACATTCTCAAAGATCTGGATCTCAAGGGCTCGTTTGGCTTTCAGGTCTCGACTTTGGGCCGGAGTTCTTTGGTTGAGGTTTTGGAGAGGTGAGAACGCCTTAGTCGGGGGCCGGATCCAAACATGTTTGGGCTTGAGGGTTCTAACTTGCTCCAGTATCAATGCGAGACCTTCGTCGCGGGACAGGTCATGACCGTCCCACAGGGACGAGCTATGTGCGCATTCACTTCGGCCCGTCCTTGCTACAAACATGTCCGCAAGTGCACTCTCGTTGGTGTGGCTCACTTCAAGCAACTCAACACGATCAATCCCGACCAGATCTTCAAAGATATTCGGAACAATCCTCTTAGCACGTCTCTCCAGAACCTTAGAAGCTTGCAAACTCAACTCCTGTCCTGGTTCGGCATGTCCTGATCGCGCACCGTCACCTTGCGGGGCTTCTCGGGCTGGCCCTCCTTGAGCGACTTCACCTCTTCGGTCAGTGTCGCCACCATCTGGGCCAGCTGAGCCACCGCAACATCCGTAGAGCTCGCACTCGCCGTCGTGGAAGGTTGATGTTTTGGGATGATCGCCTTGGCCTTGGGCGTGATCTCCGGATAGCCCTCGCCCATCTTCGAAGTCTTCTTCTTGGCGATGACCAACTTCTTCTTGACCTCCGTAGTTGCCCGATTGTTCATCCACGTCACGAACCGCTGGAGGTAGATCGAGCAGCCGGTCTCGGTAGCTGTCTGCTTGGCCCACTGACAATAGTTCTCGTCGGTCTCCAAAACCTCGAGGTAGGTCTTCTGGGAGTGTTTCCCAAACCCCATGCGATCGTTGTCGTGCCCCTCGATGGTGCGGATCATGTGCGACATGCAATTCTTTTGGATGATAGCAATGGTGTCGTTGGTTCCCACCTTCATGCCGTAGGTCTCTTGCACGTAGTTCACCAGCGTTGCCTTGCGACTGCTGGCGCGGTTGAGCTCGGCCACCGCGTTCTGCAACGGAGTCTTCATCGTCTTGGAGGTCTCGATGGCCACCTCGCCTTGCTCCGCTAGGTCCGACAGACGCTGGCGAAGTTCTAGACGGGTCCACTCCTCGGGCGGTGTCTCGCCCAGGGCACGGAGGTGGAGAATCAGCTCCGGCTTGGTCAATTTGTCCATGGCAGCACGAAAGATTGGGAGGTCCTGCAGGACAGCTTGTTTCAGAGCCAGGATCGCTGCAATCCGGAACATGCTCATCTTGCCATCTCACACGCTTCACAATCTCAGACTTCCTGATCGTGTCCGCCATGTCGCTCCCTCTGGTTCCCACTGGTACATCCGAAGGTTCATAATCAACGGCACCCTCACCATAACCCTCACTAACCACTTCAGTTCCCCTTGAGTGATCTGCTTGGATTATGGGAAAATTCCCCATCCCTGATCCTACTGCTGCGTCCTTCCTGTTTCCGTCAGGGTCAGAGTTCGGAAGGAGCTGTCCCTAGCCTCTCAGGAATTCGGTGAGGCTCGGAACTGGCCTCGTGGTAGCACAAGCATTTGCCATCCAGTCGTCAGTCAGCGGCAGCAACTGATGACCCGTCTTGCTACGGCCTAGGGGAATGATACGGTTCACATCAAGATGGCGAAAGGCTACCAAGTCGGCCTTGAAATCTATGATGGCTCCTAAATTCCGGAGCGCCTCCACACTCAGCAAAACTGGGCTTTGCCCATGGTCTAACGTGTGGATCCTCAGCTCGCCGGGATTTCCTCCGGCCGATACCTTCAAGGAAGCTGTGCTGAGGCATTTGTTTTCTGTCGAATTTCCAAAGGAAAATGTTGGAGGATCTGAGGTGTTCACTGCCGTCAGGCGATTGCTGCCATGCTTCTTCTTATTCATCGCCAAGATCGCCTCCACTGCTGCCACGCTGCCGACTGTTTGTGTCGCTCCGCCATCAACGACGCACAGTCCTTGGCTCACTGCCTCCTGAGTAGTGAGGCCAGCACCAGCACCCATGATGCTCAATGCTGCCTCGGTGGCGCTCTCGGTCTCGGGGCCCTGGGCGAAACCATTCACGTGCTCGTAGTCCTCGGGGATCTTGTCGTGGTAGCACACGAATGGCGCCTGCTGAGGTCCTGGGCCCCCATTGTCACCGGTGGTGTTCTCCGCCTGGGCTGCCAATGGTTTCACGGGGCAATTGGCTGCCCTGTGTCCTCGTTGTCCACATCGAAGGCAGTCTATATTCGAATCGTCTCGTGGCTTGAAGGTAAACTATGATGGCCGTGCGGGTTGCCTAACTTATAACTGGACTTACCCGGCACTTATGCCGTAGGATACCGTGGCACTTATAACTGGACTTATAACTGGTTAATAATCGTGGGCCGCGAGGACCCAATTGCGGGCCCACGAGGACCAAAAAAACACACCCAGAGGACCACAATTCTACAACAAAATCTTGGAAAAAGGAAACAAACGTTGGCAAAATGCAGGCCAAAAAAGAGGTATACATATCTCAAAGCACAAGAAAATTTTATAAACCAAAGCTAGCAAAACAGGCTAGCAAAACACTGCTCAACAAAAGATGTCAAAAGCATTTCGGAAATCACATACACACACAACGCAAACTTCTTAGACAAGACCTCGGAAATTTGTTTGTACATTGTTGGGTCAAAAGACCGAAGGCTGCAGACATGGTTTCCAAACGTGTAACAACCACAGCGGTCTCGCAACCACATCTGCCCTTTTTTACGCAGCCACAAAAGCCCCGAGGGCTGCAGATATCTCAAATGCAGGGCGTATCCTCTGCATGCGTGCAACAATACAATGCAGGCAGACCCACATCTTTCGAACGGAAACCGAGGCCTTTTGAGATTGGCATGGGAAATCCTCATGCCGTGCTTCAGTGCTCACTTGTTCTTCTCCGCCACGTACTCTAGCAACCGCTTCCAAGACGCGTCCTTGTCCACCTTCCAAGAGAAGGCCTTGTCCTTCTTTTCCCCCACGACCTTGACCCTCCAGTTGGAGCTGTTGCAGCAGGTGAACACCCTCACACAGCCCACTTGTACCGGCTGCTTTGGGGAAGTCGTTCCTTTCGTCGGCAGCATCTTGGCAACGTCCACCTTGGACTTTGACGAAGCGGAAGCCTTTGCCTTGGCTTTCGCTTTGGCCTTGGCTTTTGCAGGAGGCTTCTTGTCATCCGCTGGCAAGTCCTTCCGCGTGACGGCTCCTGCTTTCTTGTCAGCCAAGTGCTGCTGCACTTCTGCCGCCATACCATCAATGTCCACTTCTTCCTGCGGCGGCGGCAAAGCAAGCCGCTGCACAGCAGTCTTGCTGCCAGAAGCTGGCAGGGATGGCTTGGCCTCATCTGCAGCGTCGGCCTCCTCCGCCAGTCCCTTGGCGGATGCTTCCTGCGGGGGTGGCAAGGCCAACCTCGCTGGCGATTGCTCAGCTGCATCTTCCAGCTGCAGCTTTGCCTTCTTGCGTGGCTGCAGATAGGTGAAGTCGCAGCCAGACTGCCCATAGGAATCCATTGCCATCTGCTGTTGATGCAGCAGCATTCTCCCCATCGCCATCAAGTTCTGTAGGGGCAGGTCCTGCTTGAAAGGGCCGTCGCGGCGGCCACGAGCCATGTTCACCGACCCGTGGGACTTTCGAGCTGGCAGCGTGTCCGCCAACATCACAACATCTTCTACTTGAAGCTTGCACGGCACAGGCTCCGCCTCTCGGTAGGTTTTGCGGAAAAGAGGCTCCGCAAGCTCCTGCGGAGTTTCCGGGTAGATCGCAAGCCCTGAGTGGGCAGACCGCTTCGCACATCTCTTGATCGCAGACTTGAGATCTTCAAGTTTCTTCATGGTTTGGCCGGGCTGCAGTGTCAAGTCAGCAGCACTCCCTTTGTGGCTGCTCAGCAGCAAGATGGCCAAACCCATCACCGATGTAGGCTCGGTTGGGTTTGTCAGACCCAACAAACTCAAACGTCTGGCACAAGTGTGCATCTTCACGTCGAAGCTTCCTGTTCCCAGGAAGGTCTCCCAGTCTTCCGCAGTGAAGAAGTTGTACATGTAGCGGCAACGCTGCGTCTCCGCAGTCTGCCGCTTACACTTCTCAGGCGGCGTCGCATCATCTGGCGAAGAGACCTTGGCCTGAATTGTTTCCACAATTCTGGCCTTCATCTCGTCAGGCAAAGATGAAGCTTGCAATTGCTGCAGCATGTCGGTGGCTTTAGGCATTGTTATGCCTGGGCCTTGGGATAAATCCCGGAGACAGCCGTCGATCATCCTGCCATGCGTCTGCTGCAATGCTTCTTGCGGCGAGTTGGCGGGCAACGATGCTTGCAATGTCTTCAAGAACTGCAGCATCTGCTGGAAGCGATCCTCCGCCATGGCACGCAACTTCTTGCAAGGGCAATCCTTTGCCAGGGACAAGCCTCTGCCAGCACTGAGCTGCTGAGGGAACACACGAAAGTCGAAATTTCTTCTCAAAAGACAATCTCATGCAAGCATACTTCTCAACGGTGCTCATCACAAACTCCATGCATGCAAAGCAATCGAGACTCGAAGGTTTTGAGCAACAGCCCGTCCTTGTCACAATGGCACGGTGTGCCTTCAAGAGCATCTGCTACAGCACCAACAGAAACATTGCTTCTTATCGCCTGTCTTATGAACCCCGATTGAAAACTCTTGACTGAAGGCCCATCATGGAGAAAATCCGCGGTCGGACAAGCTTGGAAAACTTGCACGGCAGGCAAGCCTTGCCGTGCAGCAAAAAGCCATCCTCAAATCTCTTTGTCGCTGCAAGGCAAGCTTTCATGAAGACTCACCGCTTGAACTCATCATGCCACGAAGCTTCGCCGCCCCAGCTGCGGCAATAGCAGCTGCCGGCCTCTTCATCCCTGAAGACACAGCTGCTTCTTCATGAGCCATCTGTGCCATGCAGTCTCCAAAGCGAAGGGCTGCGGCCTCACCCTGGTGGATTGGCTGCAGGGAAGCAGTCGTCAAATCCCCGTGTGCGAGCTGCTCCACGCACGGAGCAAGGACGGCAAGGATCAATGGAACCTCAGAACAACACTCATGCAGAGAGAAAGAGACAGAGAGAGAGAGACATAGAAAAAAGCAAATGACATTCAGGCCAGGTGCTGGGAAAGCATTGCCAGCCCCCTGGACCCTCACGGTTGCAGGGGCGTCTTGCATCAATGTGCTCGGAAATCCCTGCAGCGTCATACGTTCACTCGGATGAAGGAATCGGCAAAACTCGCGGTGCTGCCGCGGCTTCTCAATGTCACAAGACATGCAGAATAAGTATCGGTTGCCCGTCAGGAGCGTGGGTGTTACATTGATGCAAACATGCACGTTGAACACACCATGTTCCGATCGGTCCAATGGCAGCACGATGATGTCTGTAGGAACCACTTTGCCTTCTGTCACCATCTTCACCAACCTGGTTTCCGCAGCCTGCAAATTACGACGCATATTGTCCGTCAAGTTCTCTTCATCCACGCACGCAAGACCCGGAGCGAGGAACTCCCTCAAGTCTCGCCGCCCTGTTCCTGGCCATGCGTCCGGAATGGGCCCGAAGCAGGCCCTCAAGCCACGAAGGAAAACTCGTGTCCTTTGCTGAGGAAGCCCATAAGCTTCCGCGCTCAGAACAGTGTAGCTCCACAGAAACTCCGGGGCCTCCTTCGACAGTACTTTCAGAAGCTTCTCCATAAAGGAGGTTTGCCCCTTCGGTGCATGCAGCACGCCCTTGACATTCTCCAAGACGCACACCTTCAGCTCATTGCACTTG